AAAAAAGACACCAAAAAAAAGGTTTTCTGAGATTTCCAGGAGGAGCTGTCAAGCCCTGGCAGAGATCCCAGTGGCTGAGGCCGGGTTTGGGCCACACCCCCAGGACCGTGGTGAGTGGGACAGGGGCATGTCCCAGAGCAGGGGCTGCCTCCCCACCTGCCCCGGCCCAGCAGCACCCTTACCAGCCGTTTTCAAGACCTTGAACTTCCCTGGGGTGTCCCCTTGCAGGGCCCCATCCTTCTCTTTCACACAGCGGTCCTCACTAGAGAAAGGACAGCCCAGGGGCAGGGAGCCCTCAGCAAGGCATGAGCCCTGATCCCAGACAGCCAGACCCTTGCCCCACCCCCAGTGCCCAGCCCAGGCAGGAGGCCGCCCTCGGGGAGGGGACAAACAGGAAGGGGCCGCGGGCCCTGCTCCATCAGTGAAGTGTGCCCATCTCTGCAGCACCAGCTCACGTACAGGCCGACGCTGACTGGGACAGACATGTGGGGCGGGAGGACCCCTCAAGTGAGCAGAGGGCACGGCAGAGGGCAACCTCCTGGTCCTCCCAGCACAGGGCTGCTGACCCTGGACAGGCCGGGTCCCAACTCACTCATAGTATGCAGTGGTCAGGGCCAGGTGGCTCCCTTCCAGCTCGACAAGCACGGCCCGCATCTTCTCCGTCCTGTGGGCTGAGCTGTACAAACCCAGCTTGGAGGCGACGGCGATCTCGTACCAGAGGCCTGAGAGCTGGGGTACAAGAGCAGGAGGCAGGCTGCCCAGGCGCACCCGTGTCCAAGATCAGGGGCCCTGGGGGGCTCTCTGGGACAGCCCCCCCCCACTGAGAGGGGACACCAGTCTGGAAAGTTGCAAAGTGGAGGGTGTCCCACGCGTGGCGCTGGTGAAGGGCCTCCCCGGCACGCACTGGGCAGGCGTGGCCCCCACAGTGGGAGCCCTCAGCTCCACCGGGACGTACAGCTACCTTGACCATGTCAAAGTCCTTCAACGCAGCATCCTGACTGCTGGCCACCAGCCCCACACACATCCCCATCAGGGCGACGAGAACTTTGCCCTCCATGTGCACAGTCTGGCGGGCGCCTGGGGCCAACTCCTACAGCACGGCAGCCAACAGCCTCTGGCAGCGGCCCTGGACTTTATGTCCTTCCCCTTGGGCACGTGGAAGGGGCACAGCCTGGCCCTCATTAGACAAGTTGGCTGCACATCGTACACCAGCTGGGCAGCTCGCCCACCTGCCAGATGGTGGGGCCTCGAGGAGTCACCACCAGTGGCAGCTGATCTTGTTGCTGGATGTCCACTCATTATTCATTCACTCATTCACTGTCCAGCTAGGCATGGGTGGAGCACAGGTCCCAGTTAAGACAGTCCAGGTCCCCCATGACCCCCGGCATGCCCCAGATGCAGGTGCCATGCACCGGAGGGCCAGTGAGGACATGAGATCTGCCATCTGGAGCAGCTCACAGTCACAGGGCCCAGGACAGCAGTGCCCACGCAGCTGAGTCTGTGCACCTACCCTCCAGGGGCTGAGAGCAGCAAGGGGTGAGCCAGGAAGTCCTGACCCCTCTGGTTCCACCAACTGACCTACCGAGTCCTTTGAAGAAGCCACATTGGTCAGCAAATGACTGATGAA